AAAAAATAATAAACATTTTCTTGCATTTTAAGCATCATTATAAAGATCATTTCAACTACAGTATGTGTATGGTCTTCCAATTTGTGCATAACACCTGTTAAGGACTTGAGATCGCCACATCTTTACTATTTGTATAAATTTGTATTTTTTTCTCCTTAGAGCAAATGATAACAATAAATTAAATGGCATACATGATTTCCCAGTCATTAACCTAACATAAAGGTTGTGCCTATTTAAATTTCCATTTGTAGTTATGCGTATCACTTTTTTACGCATTTACCAATCGCCAATCTTATTTTTAAAAATCTTTATCACTATGATCTCCAAATCATAGTATATTGTTGTTTTACATATGTTAAATAGAATAGTACCTAATATGTAAAAGAAGGGACTACAATTTTCTCATAGGCTGTATCTTGCATATTATCTACTGTTTATTGTTGAACGATGTGGACATTCAACAGATATAACGTGACCTTGACAACATATGTAACAGATAAAATACTAATCATGTTCCTCTGTAGTCTTTGCTGTATCATATTCTTCAGTGCTGCATTCACTCTCCTGCAAAATGAAAAAATGTAATAGCTTTTCCCAATGGGCCATTTCAATGACCATATCATAGAAGTGTGAAAACATCCTGAGTTCTTGGAAGTTGCATCATAGTGTTTGAGTTAGTGAGAAACTTAAAGACCCTATTCTGCTCCCATTATTTAATACTAAGCATATTTAATATAAAGATGTGAAAAATTTTGCAGTTTTACAAGTTGAAATAAGAAGCTCAAGTCTAATATTTTTGCATAAGTGTTTAAGTTTATTCTTCATTATGTAAGTTACTCATGTCCTTAGAAATGTAAACCTTTTTTTAATTTGTGATAATTAATTAAACTACTATCATTAACAGTTTTAAGAAAATAAAATTTTAGCCATAACAATGGATTCTGTTGAAGATAAACTAAACTCCAACTCTGCCTTATCTAAACAATATTTTCCACATTGTTCTATATCACCTAGTAAACCGTATTTCTTTTCATTTTGTTTTAGGTAGCAGTTTTACAACATCATCAGGATTATATACAGGAAATAATTCACTTACAAATTCTTCTGGGTTTAACAGTTCACAGCAGGTAATTTAAAAAGCCAGTTTAACTTCTGAAATATTTTTAAATGCAACATGATTTTCATACATGAAGAGAGATTTATTTATATTATACTACAAGTGAGAGCTTTCCTAGACCTTTTCACAGAATTTTTTTTTTCTCTAAAATATCTCTTTAGCAATCTTTTCTGATGATTTGTTGGTATTCAGATTGGTTTAATTTTTTCTGGTAATACATCACAGAATAAAAAAATTATGAAGAATATGTATAATCGTACATAAAATTAAGTCTGAGTTCTTCAGTTGATGGGTATTTAAGTGCCCTCCAATGTGAACAGTTTTAAAAAGGCACAGAAACACACACATATTTATAATTACGTAGTTGTGTACCACACACTGATGTTTTGGTCATATACATAACCAGTGGTTACATATACAGTGGTGGTTCCATAAGGAGCACATAGACCATACCATATCACTTGCATGTGCAGTGCCCGATACTATCTGGGTTTGTGTAAGTACTCTCTGTGATGTTTGCACAGTGAGAAAATCGCCCAACAACACATTTCTCAGAATGTATCCCTGTGGTTAAGCAACACACGACTGTACTTTGAGATGTAAGAGAGGAGCAGCATTAGTTTTGACAGGTTCTTATGTGGTTTGACTTGGTAGGACTACCCGTCTTATCCCAGTTTTGGCCAGGGTCAGTACGCACAGTATTACAACAGCTCACCGTACCCAGCACATTATATGACCAGCAGCAGCACCAGCCCTACAACGCCGTCCACCAATGCCACTTACCAGCTTCAAGAACCACCATCTGGCATCACCAGCCAAGCAGTTACGGACCCTACAGCAGGTAATGACATGAGTTTTCTTAGCCCTGAAGGCTATATTTCTGTTGCCTTAGATATATTTTTCTACAGTTATATGTTCATGAGATGTTTGCAAGGACTGAACATGTCAGCCAGCATGATCGTGGTGTTAGCTTTATTTTTATTTGTTTGAAAATTTTCATGTGAAGTATAAACTTCAAAAATATATGAAATAGATTTATGAATATTTTCAATTTTGAAGACAGATATAGCTCTTTAAATGTGTAATTATAAATATATAGCTATAATCATGAATAGTTCATTGACATCACATGTTATGTATGAAAAGAAATCACATCATCCAGAATTTAGTGTTTATCATCATTAAAGTATTTTGGGGGGGTCAGAGTAATACATTGTCAATCGATAAAAAATCAAATAGTATCAGAGGGTTAATCATGGAAATCCTTGAGTCCCTGCCTACCCATTCCCACTCACTGCTTACTGTAACTTTCATAACTGTATCTATAAGCATTTGTCATAAATCTGTCCAACTCTTGATGGGTTCTTTCAAGTAAGAACATCTCCATCTAGAAATTTTATTTTTTATAATATCTTAATTTCAACTATACTATAATTTTTTTTAAAGAATCATTTTATTTAACTTTATTTATTTGTTTTAATTTTACCAGAGAGGGACAGCGTGAGAGTGAGGAGAGAGAGAGTGAGAGAGACAAAGTGAAAGCAAGCCACTAGGCCCAGGACTCGAACTGCAGTCGGCCATGTGGGAGTCCAGTGCTCCCAACCACCATGCCACCTGCCAGGCCTTCAACTGTATCTTAATAATTACATAATATTTAATCATGTCTTAAAATAATTTCTGATTTACAAATATTATATTGAGTTGTTGGGAAAGTCATGATGTATTTTTGCATAGGAAAATATGTGATGCCTTTCCTGACAACTGAATACATTTTTGTGGGGTACAGTGTGGTTTTTCAAAGCATGCATATAGTGCGTAGTAATAAACTCAAGGATATAAACATTCATCATCATCTTCAGCATTGAGTGTTAATTACACTACCTCGTGCAACTCGGTATTTCTTTACCTGCGTTAGTTCTTTCTGGAATTCTTAATTTTGTATATACTTAATTTCCTGGTTTGGTCTTTACCCAGGTTTCTTATATATTTTTCTTAGGCATCCTACCTCCTTACCTTAACTTTTAAAAAACACAGCTGTTCCTTTCATGGATTATAAAATGAGCTGTTATCCTCCACAAGTCGGAGTTTCCTTCTTCCCTATTTCCAGAGCTAGAGCTCATCCTGTTGCTACAAGTCAAGTTAAAAATGATGTATACATAGAGTTAATTCTAGGTGGTTAGCCTAGACCATGAAAAAAAAAGTGTTCTGTGACAGTTAATTTAATTTCGATTATAGAATTATCTTATAAATATTAACAGATGACCCCTCCAAGCCTCGTAAACTTGTCTCCCAACTAACTTCAAATGCGTAATATCTGCTGCACATTTCAACATTAAACAGTTTTGTCTTTGATCATTGTATTCCATTTATCTTTATTTTCAAAACATTAGCTTGATTCTTCATTCAGTTCACATGTGTAAATAGTGTTCATGGAACTGAATATAGACCTCTCTGTCTCTCTTGTCTTTTAATTAACTTTCACATTTCCACAGACACACTGTAGATGTTTTTGTAGAATTTTCCTCTGTATTTCCATAAACTTCACATAGGCATTGCGAGGGAAGATAATGGCTTGCCTCACCTTTATGGAAGTTTTGGACATTACAGAGATCTTTCATATGTACCATTTGAATCATGCTTCTAGAGGACTAAAAGAAGTTTTGAAATGAGGATAGCATATAAATTGGAAGTAAAAATCTCTGTTATGTTCTGTGAAGTAATATATTGAGAAAGGAGACAGCCCAGTAAGTTTACTTCATGATATTTTCATTGTAAAGAATGCAGTATAAAAACAAACTAGTAAAAACTTAATGATTTTTAAATTTCATTAGAGCTTTTTTAAAAAGAGCATTTAATCATATGAGAGTTTGTCTTTGAAACTTGATATTCTATGACTTTTATTTACAAAAGAGATGCCATGTGTAAGAGTGGGGAAGGTTAGACACAAAGCTAGCCACATGGGAAACAACACAAAATCATAATTTAAAAACTAAATTATGATTTTATGTTAAAATTGAGTGATTTGGGGCCAGTTCTATAGCCAAATTATTGGGAAGCTGTATCCCATATGGCCAATCTTGGTTTGACTCTTGGCCCTGGAGGCTCAAGAAACACATGGAACATTTGCGTGTGCATACCCCAAATCCCAATAAGATAGGTAAATGGAGCAGAAAGCATTGTGGGGTGACCACACTCCAAGTCACTGAGTTTGGGACTTGAACTGTAGAGTCAGCCATGTGGAACCCAGGGCCTTAACAACCATGCCTCCTGCTGGATCAATTTTTTTTTTTTTATCAGAGTTTTGTAGTTTGTAGTTTTAATCTTACAGATCTTATATATATTTTATATTTATACCTAAGTATTCTCTCTCTCACTCTCTCTCTCGGTGCTTAGGTAGGTGGTGGTGTATTTTTGTATTTTGAATTATAATTACTCATTGCTGGTTTATAGGAAAGCAATTGACTGGCTTGTATCCTACAATTTTGGTATAATGACTCATTAGTTCGAGGAGCTTTACTGTTGATTCTTTGACATTTTCTTCATAGACAAGCATGTTATCTGTGAACAGAGACAGTTTTGTTTCTTTTTTCCCCAATGTGTATACCTTTTATTTCATTTTCTTATCACATTAGCTAGGACTTCTACAATGTTAAAAAGGAGTGATAAAGGAAATCTTTGCTTTGTTCTTCATCTTAAAGAATCAGATTTCTCATCAGTAAGTGTTGATAGTGTGTTTTTCAAATGTTCATTATCAACTTGAAGTTCCTCTCTATTCCTAATTTTCTTAGAGTTTTTATCATGAATGGACATTGAATTTTACTAAATACCTTTTCTTTATCTATGGATTCAATACAATTTTTCTTATGTAGCCTATGACATGATGGATTACATTACTTGATTTCCAAACATTGAACCAGCCTTGTGTCTTGATCATGTTGTATAATTCTTTTTATACATTTTTGGATTCAGTTTGCTAGTATTTTGTTGAGGATCTTTGCATCTGTTTATGAAAGATAGTACTTCGTAGTTTTCATATCTTGTAATGTCTTTGTTTTTGACATTATAGTACTACTATCTTCTTTTCCTCTGCTTTTCTTTTCTAGAACAGATTGTTTAGAATTAGACTCATGGGAACCAGCAGTTAGCGTAATGGCTATGTTGCTGGACTCCCACGTAGTCGACCACGGTTCGCGTCCCAGACCCGGTGGCTTAAAACTCACGTCGGGCGCATGTGCGTGCGTGCCCAAGATCCCGAGAGGAGAATGGAGAAGGGATTGCGGCATGACCATCCCCCCTGGGGGGTGATTTCTCGCTTTCTGTCTCTATGTTTCTCTCTGTCTGTCTGGCGAGCACATGCGCCCTATAGTAAAAACCTCTCCAAAAAAAAAAAAAGAAAGAAAAAGAAAAAAGAATTAGACTTGTTTGCTTCTTAAATATTTGATAGAATACCAATTAACCTATCTGAGTCCAATGCTCTTTGCTTTGGAAGGTTTATTATGGATTCAATTCCTTTAATAAATATAGTCCTGTTTAGATAATCTATTTCTTCTTGTGTTAGATTTCCTAAATTACCTCTTTCAAAGAATTAGTCTATATCATCTAGTTTATCTGATTTGTGGCACACAGTTGTTCATAACACTTCTCTATTATCCTTTTAATGTCCATGGAATCACTAATGATGACCCACTTCTTTTTTTTAGGTTAGTAATTCATGTAAGTTTTTCTTTTTATCTTGGTTAGACTGGCTAGAGACTTACCCATTTTATTGATCTTTTCAAGAACTATTCATTTTCTGTCTTCCTATTTTTAATTTCCGTAATTTCTGTTATTTTTTTCTTATGCCCACTTTTAATTTATCTTGCTTTTCTTTCTATAGTTTCCTAAGATTGAAGTTTAGATTATTGATTTTATATCTTTCTTTTTTCTAGTATATTTATTTAAATCTATAAATATCCCTCTAAAGTACTGTTTTTGTTACATCCATGAAATTCAATAGATTCTTTTTATTCATTTTCATTTACTTCAAAATATTTTTACTTTTATTTTCATTATCCTTGGAACTCTCCCATTTAATTAGGTAAATATTATTGGAGAGGTACATTTACTGGGAAAAAAAATCTTAAAAATGTGATGGCCTATAGGTACATATCATTCATTTTAGTCACCCAGTTATTCATCTCTCTCTTGTTTTAAACTTTCTTTTAAGGATTATTTTATTTTTATTTATTTATTTATTTACTTTAATTTGACCAGAGAGGGACAGAATGAGAGCAAGAATGAGAGATAGCGAGAGAGAGAGAGAGCGCGCACGAGCGAGAGAGAGCAAGCCGCCAGGTCTGGGACTCAAACTGTGGTCAGCCATGGGGGAGTCCAGCACCCTCAACCACCATGCTACCTGCTGGCCCCTAGTTATTCACATCTTAACAATGAAATAGCTATCTATTATTAGAGAATGTGCTTAATTTCTGAGCAAAGGGTATTCCATGGCAAATTCAAAATCTAATATCTAAAAATGAAAAGTTTGATCAGAATCAACTCTTTTTCTCTTTTTACTTGTTCAATCTAAGACTATAAGACAATGTCATAGTTAAAGTCATGATTTCATTAAAATGAAAATGACTAACTTTACTATTTTTTCTTTTCCTTTTAAATGCAATTCTTTTAGGTTGTCAGGAAAGTCCTGTCATATTTTTCTATGCAAAAATGCATCATGACTTTCCTGACAACCTAACATATAAAATCAATTATTTTACTCTATGTTCAAGACATATAAATAAATGAGATATAAGGGGGAAAAAAACACATTTTAAAGGGTTTTCCTTTTATGCCAATTTCTAAACT